TGAGTTATAGTTTCATGTTAATCCTTAAATTTTAAAATATCACTTTTACGATTTTAAAGATGAACTCTTTGTTCGATTATAGAAATATTAACTCTAGAGGTGGACTCGGGGGTTGGGTGCGTGACAAACTTCCCCTTCTTTTATTGCATTGTCTTATTTCCTCTCTTTCCTCAAATCTCCATTTATTAATCTCACCCCTTCTTCCACTTATCTCTTTATTCATTACTCTTCTCCCTCATTTGCTTCAACATATATTATTCAAATCTAAATATTCTTAATTATAACTTCAATTAGTTACCCATATTTTAATTCATCCTCCCTTTTACAATTAGACATTGAACTTAGTTTTGAAAGTACCAATTTTTATTTCAAACATTAATGATATCTTTTATGGTTCGTAGCTTATTATTTAAGTTTGAAATTTTGTGTACATCTCTAAATTTTTAAGAGTTTCTAGATCCCTTATTTTAAATGTTTTGGATATTTTTTTTAACATTATTTTCTAAAAAAAATTGAAAATATTAAAAACTTGAACAATAATGCATATATCTCTTAATAATAGTTAGTTGAAAGTGAACTTAGAAATGGTACATACTCTAATGGTTCTAATGGTTACGGGATATAATATTTAACATTTCGAAGACGACTTCCATTCTCTAATAATATGGTATTCACTCCATATTGCAAAACAATTACATAAACTCCCAATTGTGGGGAAAAAAAAACACTAGATAAGAGATTCACACCCAATAAAAACGGGAATTTTTTTTTTTCTATAATCTATTAATAATTTTAGCTACTTTCATGGACTTTTTAGCAGTGGACACTGCCACGGCGGCCGGGACAGCGGTGCGCCGACGCTGGCCGGGCAGGACTGTACGCCCACCGGCGGCTCCATGCAATTATAGGACAAACAAAGCGCCGCCGTATCGGGCAAATCGGCACCGGCTTCCAGTGGAAACCCGGATATGAAATTGTGCTGTAAATACAGAGTGGTGGTGCTGCCGCTTCTCACACTCTTCACGTACTCCACCGGTATGGATCCGATGAGGCGGTTGTTGTTCAAGAACAGCGTCTCGACGCCGGCGAAAATCGCTGACATCTCTCCAGACAGATTGTTGTGGCTCAAATCCACGACGGATCCAACCCCATACATCACCGGGCTTGTGTGGTCGGGCAGCGGTGGGACCTTGCCGGAGAAAGAATTCCGTTGGAGGAGCAGAGAGGAGAGGGAAGGGCGTGAGAAGAGAGAGAAAGGGATGGGCCCACTGAATCGGTTCACGCTCAAGTCGAGATACACTAACTCCGATAGAGAATCAAGCTCGTCGCGAAGAGGGCCCCACAGAGAGTTCTCTGAAAGCGACAGATACCGGAGAGACGACGGCAGCGACCGCGGAAGAGTACCGTTTAATCGGTTGGATTTCAAATCGAGATGAAGGAGAGGAGACGAAATGTCGGCGGGAATTTCACCAAAGAATTGGTTCGACGAGAGGATCAGAATTTTCAGGTCAGGAAGCTTAGTGAGCGTCGGGGGAATGATTCCGGCGAGCTGGTTATGACTGAGGTCGAGAGTGTGGAGACGAAAGAGAGCGGAAAGGGTGTCCGGAATTGTGCCGGTGAGGCGGTTGTTCGTTAAGGAAAGAACTCGAAGATTCCGGAGATAGCCCAGTTGGGGCGGAATCGGACCGGTAACAATGCCAGGGAAGAGGATGAGCTGGGTAAGCTCGGAGAGGTCGGAAATGGCAGCCGGGAGAGACCCAGCAAGGCCAGGCGAATCAGAGCCACCAGTGCCAAGAGAGAGAATTGTGACACGGCCGAGATCACAGACGACGCCGGAGAAGGAGGAGCAGGGATCCAGGGAGGAGAAGTCCCAAGTGGAGAAAAACCCGGGACCGGAAGGGCTCCGGCGGAGGGGAAGATCAGTGAGGGTGTTTTTAATGACTCTTAGAGCTTGAAGATCGGCGGCGCTGATGTTCCCCTGCAACTGAAGGGACAGAGGAGGGAGAGAGAGAATAAGGAAAAGGATGAGAGAGAGAGAGAAGGGAGTTTCAGCCATTGGAGCAGAGCTAAGCAAGGATTTGGGAATGGAGGAAATGTTTGGAAGAGATCGTAAAAATGTGATCTTTAATCCAAAAAAGGAAAAAAAAGAGAAGTTCATATGAAGTTAGGTCCACTGTTATGATGAGACTGTCAAATACACAATCACTCAAAGAGTTGTATGCTTGGCGGAAAGCTTTGTATATTTATATACTTTCTCTCCTCTTGATCCGTTACACGCTAGGTTCGGAGTACCCGCCTTAATAATTTCCATACAACAAGAGAGGACTCGATGTTAATATTTTCCCAAAATTTATACAAAGACAAACCGACACTATTTTCTTTAGAATATCTAACAATTAACTTGAAAGATTCGAGACATAATATCCTAAAAAACAGATCATATCGTTCATATTTGAGATGATTATACGAACAAAAAAGATATATTTTATGGAGAGAAATTATTTACCGACCTTTCTTGTTCAAGAATGCCTTTCCTTCAACCACCTTATATTTATATCAATAAATAATATGTCCCTCCTAAGAGCTTCTCGTTGATCCCATCTGCAAAATGAGAAAAGGAAACAGTGGAAATACATTCATTGCAGACACAAAACAGTGCTGGACCTAACTTAACCAACAATCCATCAATATATTCATCACTCCAAATACAAAAAGTGGTTTCTAATGTTCATTAATACTGAAAGAGAGAGCAATTAATTAAAGAAATGAGAGATCTTTGTCACTGAGTGGGATCAGCAATACAAAAGGAAGAGCTGTTGAGGGAAGCTGCTATTTGCAAACATGTTAATCAGAACAAAGTTGTCAGACAAGTCTATAAACATAAGACATTCGCAATACAAAAGACGAGAGAAAAATGTAGGAGACCTAAAGCTTGATAGCACAGTGCCATACACTAAACCACATGGCTGCAGCATGGGTATATATCATTTACAATTACATATGGTGTCAGTGCTGTTTTCTTTTCTACCTTTTTAATCTAAATTTAGTTATCCTTTCATATGGTACCTATGATATAGACCATCAAATAGTGAGTGCCACCAACGTTTTCTAAGGATTAGAGTCCGAAAATTAACAACTAACTAGAATGCAAACACGCACAGTACGATGTGGTTGAGACAGTTCATGTATTTGCTAAGAATACGATCGACATCTCACCTCAAGTCATTATCGTAAACTTTACAAAGGTCATTGAACTTTTAAGATTGTGTCTATTTAGTCCTTCAACCCTATCGACTATTTTTAAAAATTGACAAATTTACTGAAGAAGAATTAAAAGTTTAGCATTTTACTAAACTTAGAATTCAATGTCCTTATCTAATAGATAATTAATCTTTTAAAATTTTGAATATGTCAATGACCTGTTCAAACACAAAATCAAAAGTTTAGAGACCTATTAAGCATTTTAAAAGTACTACGACTTAGCTCAAAGATCTGTTCAATATTTTTTAAAGTTAATAGACCGGATAAATACGAACTTAAATGTTTTGAGACTAAATTTGTAATTCAAGTTCTACGAGCCATTTGGTATTAGATCCAAAATAAACAAATTTAATTCATGGAGGCAAGGGGGCATGTTATAATATACGCCAATAAGATTGCTCTATTAGATTTAGAAACATGTGATGAAGAGCAGCACTATTTTTTTTCAAACCTGAGATTAGAGTGTATGGATGAATTGTGTCGGTAGTTGTAGAGCCAACATCCGCCATGATGATTTTGATATGGTAAAGTCCAAATGACTTTTGCAGAGGTTCAATAATCGTACGTTATGCTCTGAAACGCAAATGGGCAGACATCCATGTGGAGAACTTTGGAGGCTTTTGCTATCTGAAACTAAAACAATGAAATGATGTCAATGAAAATCTCAGTTATTTAATGATAGAACAGAGCAGAAATCAGCAATTCCACAAAGACATGTTTTTCTTTTGCTTCAGTTTCAAATTTCAATCACATCATGCATTGAAAATGAGAAGGAAATATTCCAAATTCCTTGAATTGCCATTCTCAACTCCACAGATGGGGCAGTGAGCCTGAAAGAATTTACCCTTCAGGATGCAATGAAGATCAAAGGAAATGGCTGCTTGCACCCAAAACTGCATTTAAAACCAGAATTCACAAAGGAGTTTGATGTGTGGGTTATAGATAGTGAAGTAGATTCACATTTGATATGTGGATCCCTTCATCCCAAAAATGAATAACATCTAGCTGCCTAAAAACTTATGAGATGTTGATTGTCGGAGGCAGGTGCCCCAAGAGGCTTTCAATCCCCGACCAGTTGGTCGATGGATTTGAAGGACCTTTACTCCATGGATGTCAAACCAACATCATGTTTAAGGTTTTGAATGAAATCGTGTGAATCAAATTACAAATACATCCAAACCCATCAGTTTATAATGAGCTTCTACCACCAAGTTTTAGCCATGAACAGAGCAGCTCATAATATCGCAACAAGCCCATCTTGCATTGTACAAAAAACCAAAAGCATCCCAATGGAGAGAACTTTGCTATCTTTTAACGTAAATTAGTGTAGAAAAGAGTCAACAGCAAGTTTGAATGGCAAATACCCTACCAACTGAGATTTTGAGAATGAAAAGGAAACTATAGCGAAAGACGAGAATTACCTGAGGTCTTGGTGCATGCTATGGCTTTCTCGTGCACGCTTTCGACGCACCCACGATAACTTCTGCACAATTTATTTTTCCCTTCTCTCTTCTTCTAACGTTCTCATTTTCCAGGTCAAGAAGTAACTGCTTCTCTCTCACAAATTTGCAAGGGAAAAGGAGGCTCATACCATGGAACGAAGGGCCTTTGCCCTTCCCTACCTTGAGAGAGAGAGGAGAGAGAATGCAGTAACCACAGCTAAAGGTATGCAATTTAATTGATAGTACATGACAGGCAAGGATAATAAAAATACCAGATAAGTTCAAGTTTCGGTGTTCGTCAAACAAAAAGATAAAAATAATTGCAATGTAATAACTTGACTTGATAGTTGCACATAGTAAGGATAATTACCAGCGTTTCTAACACGAGTAAATATAAACTTTATAGAGTGCACATTAATAAAACCAACAATCTAACGACATATCCAAACACCAGTGTTCACTTCAGGTCATATGATGAAGATGAAATGCGTTAGACCAAGTGACAAGTAATCCAGCATCTTTAGGAAGCCTCAGCAGCCGGTTGAGTCAAACCAGACTTCACCAACAACTTGCTTAGGGACTCGGGCGAGCGAACTTGATACTTGACATTTCCAGAGGGTGAAAGGACAACCTCAGCTAATTCAAGCTTATCTGAAGTCAGACTTGTGCTGTCCATGGTTTTGCTGAGCACCTTAAGTGCAAGCTGGATGGCTTCTTCCCTGGTGATATCATCCTTGTAATCCTGTTTGAGCATCGACTGTGCTGCCTGGTTGTTTGCACCGATTGCAGCAGCCTTCCAACCGCTATAGTTTCCACTTGGGTCACTCATGTATAATTGAAAGCCATAATTTTTATCCCATCCAGCAAACAGAAAAGAAACGCCAAAGGGCCGTAGACCACCAAACTGAGTGTAGCCTTGCTTTGTATCACAGAGAGATTGAACCAGTTGCTCAACGGGCATTGGCTCTTGGTAAGCATAAGTGTATCGCTGGGCTTGAACTCTTGCTGTGTTGATTAATATGTTTGCATCAGACATTATTCCAGCCACAGCACATGCAACATGATCATCAATTTTGTACATCTTCTCCGTGGAAGTTGAGGTCTGCAGGAGTTTGGAAGTGACCTTCTTCTCACCAATCAAGACAACTCCATCTTTAGACAATATCCCAATTGCAGAGCCTGCATTTCCTATTGCCTCCATTGCATATTCAACCTGGTAAAGACGACCTTCTGGAGAGAAGATTGTTGTTCGGCTATCATATCGCCTAGACATGTTTTTGATATCCTGTTATGAAGAGGGCGAAAAAAACCAGTAGGACAGTAAGAATGGATAATCTAGCAGGGCAGAATGATCCCACTCAAAGTGGCATGGATGCAGTGATGGGAGACAAACATGACAACATACTAATGACACCTCTTTCATAAAAATATAACAAAGACAAAGGGGCCAAGTATATTTATATATATAATATGTATGTATGTATTTTAAATCCAATTGTATATTTTTGTACGTTTCAACACTTCCAACGTAATGAATTGCATGATTTCTGAGGATCTAGAAATGCATTGCTATATTGGCATTAAAAAGTATCTCCCCTCTCACACCCACACCCAAATAACTTCAGTCTCTCTCTCTCTCTCTCTCTCTCTCTCTCACACACACACACACACACACACATACACATCCAAACAACTTTAGTCTGCTTCCTCCATCCCCCATGAGTTGCTGCTCCCCCATAGCGCAGTTTATCTCCCCTTTCTATATTACAGAATAATTTTTCTACTCTATCAATGATGATAGAGAGTACACTTTTGTTACAAACCGGAAGGGTACAAAACAGACTACAGGGCATAAAAATCCAAAGGAAACAAAACAAAAACTACAAGTTGCATGAATACATTTGTTCATGTGCATTATAGAGACACATGAATGAATGGTCCAGCTTGACAAGTCCATATTCAGAGTCAAGACCAAAAAAAGAACTATATTCTCTCACGATACATAGCTTTCCAGACCATCTTCACTGACATCGACGCAGAGAACAAATTGACTCCTGTTGAAATTTTCAAAAGAATACTCAATAGTTGTATTGGATTTTCCTGACTTCCAACCTCTAGTGTCAAAACAGTCCGAGTCTAAAATGCCAGAGCTTTTCAATGAAAGTTAGAGACAGAAACTACATTTGCATTTATTTTGTCAACTAATCGAGTTGAGGAATTAGAAAAGCGTTATTCAACCATCTAAACGGTATCTCAGACCTACTACTCGCACTAACCAATTGAAAAAAGCAGCCTTGCAAATCAATCATAAACGGAAAAGCTAGATACTCCAAGGAATTCCACTAAAATATTCTTTGCATTGATCGTTCTCCAACCAAGGGGTCACTTGGATATTACTCAACAAGGATAGTATACCAAATGGATAAATCTTCAAAAGGAAAACTCCATAATCATTTCCTATCTAACACCGCATTCCTTCCCCACATTAGGACCACCACCTGTAAGAGTTGAATCACTATCTCCCTAGACACCAAAGTACTCCATAATGGGAGAATCCAGAAAGTGGCTCCCAGTACTTGATAGGCCAATCAGGGGAGAGAGCTGGTTAATCTTTCCAATGACTAATTAGCATTCTGAAACAGTTACAGTTCGCCTAATTCATAAAACCATAAAATAAAATAATGAAATGGATCGCAGAATCCCATCCCACGTCTCTTAAACCTTGAATGTATTTTCAAAATTCCACTGCTATGTTCAACTCATAACGAACACTTATCATATTCCACTTTTTCACTCTCCCCCTACCCATACTATGCCCAAAGCAGGTGAACGCAGCCCAACTTCAAAAGACAACAGTTTCCAGTATTTCCTACCAAATTTACTCCTCTATTTGGCAATTTGATAACTACACAACCCTCGAAGATCCATTTTTCGTAAAGCGAACTGCCAAATGTCTGCCTATTCCAAATTTAAACGATCAATAGAGAAAAAGTAGAACATCACCTGGAAACGAAGTTCAGGAACAGCAACAAGTTGAAGAAAACACTAGCCAGCCAGGCCGCTCGCTCGCTCAGATCGCTGATGTTGTTACAGAGCAGAGCAGATTTGTACTTCAGCAAGTTCAGCGACAAAGCTACCGGCTTCTTCCTCAAGAAAACTTCGCCTTTCGAGTGGGCCTGTTATGGCCCATGAAAGTTGGGCTTCTGGTTAAAATCAGGCCCGGCCCAATATAACATTATAAATATTTTCAGAAAATCATTTTCAGTATTTCTACGATTATAATGGTCACTAAAAGGAAGTGTTCAAACTTAGCAAATCCACATATTCAAAAAATTTTATTAAATTAAAAATTTTTATTTCTTTATTTTTATTTGAGTTCGAAATTAAATTAAGATACTTTGATGTAACAGTTCAAGCTTACCGCTAGTAGATATTGTTTTCTTTGCACTTTTTCTTCTACGTTTCCCTTCAAACTTTTAAAACGCGTATGGACTTTCCCTTTTACGCGTCTTTCATAGTTACATGGCAGAACCGATACTAATCCAAATACTTACTTTGAGATCTCACATCGATTGAAAAGAAGAACAAAACATTTTTTTGCAAGAATGTGGAAACTTGTGCCTAGCACACATGTTTTTAAACCATGAGGTTGACGACAATAAGTGGACTTGGACTATTACAGTAAAAACATTAATTAATATAATTAACACTTCATCTTAATCTAATCAACTAAAATTATTTAAAAAAACATACCCATTATGTATGGAATAAATCCTTAAAAAATTATTAGAAACAAAATATAAAATTTAAATTCATATTAAAAACATTTATAAAATTTACGAGACAAAATTAAAAATTATTTATTTATTTATTTATTTATTTATTTGGTAATTTATAAGTAATTAATGTTTTTTTAATTTTATTATTATTATGCAGTTTGAGGTATTAATATTTATTTACCGAAAATAAAAGGACAAGCAATGAGCATATTAAAAATATTATTAAAATGTTTAATGAAAAACAGTCACTTTTTGTGGCACAGAACATAGATTTGATATTTTTACTACACGACAATAAACAAACACAAAATTAAAATTAAAATTAAAATTTCACACCAAACCAAACATTAATTAAAAAAAAAAAAAGAAAAAGAAAAAAAAGTAGGCTTGTCTTGTCTGCTTCTACTGCTGTCACTTGCCAATTTCGAATATTATTATTATCTTTTTCCGTCCGCCCGTGACTCCTGAAAATAATAAATAAATAAATATTAATAAATCTGTTAAAAATATATTAAAATATTTTCACCACTCAATTAATTGGACCCATTTCCATGACCTTCCATGACCTATTGTCATTGGTTCCACGTCTCCACGTACCCAATATTTAATAATTATTTACCATTTTTTTTGTATCGATGAGTATAAGCTCTAATGACTTTATTTTTTTTATTGATTTAAAATAAATAAAAATTTTATAAATTAAATTGATTCGTTAATTTCTTTAAAAAATTAAAATAAATAAGTGGAACAATTGAGACTTACTAGTAAGGGGAGCATTGGAAATCAGAGGGAGCGTGTTTGCCACAGTCGATGAGTACTTGAAGGGCAATGGGGATGATGAGGTTGATATTCAGAAGCTTAGCTTTAATGGTGGTGCAAAGGCACACCGCCGCGTCCAAATCCACGAGCCCTTCAAGAACCGGGCAGCAAGTTTGTTTGGTTTGGTCGCCAATTCCGATATGGATCAGCCCACCCAATAAGTCCACACACGCACCCAGCTTCAGCGTGTCAATGGGGCATGTCCCTTGCTTTGGTGGCGGTGGTGGGCACGGTGTGTCCGGTGACGGCACTACTGGAGCTGGCTTCACTGGTGGTGGTGGGCTAGGCACTGGCACGTACCTTGGTGGCGGTGGTGGTTTGGGTACTGGTGGCTGGACGTATGGGGGAGGAGGCTTGGATACTGGAGGCTGGACGTAGGGTGGAGGAGGCTTGGATACCGGCGGCTTTGGGACATAGGGAGGAGGAGGGGGTTTGACGGTGGGGGGTTTGTAGGGAGGGGGGGATTTGGGGGGTTTGTAGGGCGGGGATTTGGGGGGTTTCGGGGGGAAATGCGGCGGTTTGTACTTGGGGGCGGGAGGGTGGTGGGAAGGGGGCTTGCCGCAGTCGCATGCGAGGGTGGAGAGAAGGGCGGAGAGGTTGAGGAGGAGGAAGAGGGAGAGGGAAAGGGAGAGGTTTCCCATGTCTTTTGTGAGTAAGGGAAGGAAGTGATGTGATTGTGAAGCACTCGGGGGAAGGGTTTAGGGTTTTTATAGGCGAAGAAATGTGTGTTTGGATAGGAGGTCTAGATATTGTCTGTTATGTATTACTGTCAGCCTCATTATTTTAAAACACTTTTACTAGGGAGAGGTTCTACTCACAATCCACCTCTCTTAGGATACAAACGTCTTTACTGGCACACCCTAGTGTTTAGCTTTGATATCATTCGTAACAGTTCAAACTCACTGCTAGCAGATATTGTCTGTTTTATCTGTTACGTATTGTCGTCATCATTTATTATAGAGAGATTTCCACATATAAAGAATGTTTTGTTCCTCTCTCCAACTGATGTGGAGTCTACAAGTTATCATACCGTTTTATTGGTTATGATATATTTTTTGATAAATTACTTTAATATTATGTGTGTGGTACTTACCATCGCTCTCGAGTATGCCACCCAACTAGAATTTGGGTCAATAGTAATTTTTAATTTTTAAAGTTTTCTTAATCGATATATCTTCCGCGTCGCTTTTATTAGACGTAGTCTAAGTTTATTCATATCATTTTTATTTTTTTTAAGGTCGTTACAATAATAAATTATATTAATATATATTATCAACTAATAATCATTTTTTTTAATTACATGAGTATATATAAAAATTATGAGAAAAAATAAAAGCCGTAGTTGACTTGGAGAGCCGATGGAATCACGGAAATAAGGAGAATAAGCGCAAAAATCGCGTATAAATCGGCCATAAGTAACATGGAAATATATATACGTGTGTATATATATATATATATGTATGTATGTATCTGTGTATAAACTCATCATTTCCAATAATTTAAATTTAATATATATAATTATACAGATAAATGAATATATTATATTATAGAGTGACAAAAAATTGAGGATGAATTTTACGTCGGATTTTAAAAATATTTAAGATCTATGTGTGTTTTATTGACCAATAAGAAGAATCGAAACTATGAGTCACAGTCATTTGGGACCGAGTCATTCGTGCCAAAAAGCTATCACATGATAGATTGATAGACACGGTCGTAGAAAATGGTTTAATTGTGATCTACCACGAATTGAAACGAGTGGATGAAATTTGTTCTTACGGATCAACGAAATTAGATACATTAATGTTTAATTTGATTTATATAAAGTTTTGAGATAAAATAATGACGGAATATGATAGTGGAGACTATAATGAAAAGGATTACGTTATTAATGTGGCTTTTTGAGTCCGTGACTTCGATTTTATTAATGATTCTTTCATTAATTGGTTAGAGAACAGTGAAAGAGATTTGATTGACCTAATTTGATTTCACACTCCCGAGTCAAAAAATTCTTTTTTTTTTCTCTTTTTTTCACACTCGGTTTAATGCAAATTCTAAATAAAATTTCAATAATTACGTAAAAAAAGTCGATAAACTATGATTAATGGTGTTGATGGGTTAGAATGGGTCGGGATAAGATATTTTATAGATCCAAACGTAGCTGTTTTCAACACAATCAGCTCTTATTAAATAATGAACTCAACTCGTTCGGACCATAAATATTTGGATTGGGTTGGTTCCAATTGTTCAAATTATTTAGATAAATTTGATTTCTTTGATAAAATATATTTAAAAATTTAAAAATTAATTTTTAAAGGTAATAATAAATTTGAATTAAGGGCTCAATTTATATAAATTTTTAATATTATTATTAAAAAAATATAATATTTAAAAATAGAAATAGACAGCATCCAGCCATGCATTTTCCTTACAATAGTGAATCCGTGATGTCGGCCATTCTCACTCATGACTTTTCTCTCTCTCTATCTGTGCCCCATGTTACGCCTTTATAATTATTAAGTAAGAAATTAAATTATATTTTATGAATAACATTATTTTTAAATATATATATATATAATTAATTGGTTGATATTTTTTCACTTCACATATTTAAAAAATCAATCAATATCGACGTGTGTAATGGTCTAAGTCCACCGCTGACAAATATTGTCCTCTACTGTGTAATGATCTAAGTCCACCGCTAACAAATATTGTCTTTACGTGTGTAATGGTCTAAGCCCACCACTAGCAAATATTGACATTTTTTTACTTTCTCTAAAAGTTTTTAAAATTCGTCTTCTAGGGAGTGGTTTCTAACATCTTTATAAAGGGTGTTTCGTTCTCCTCCTCAATCGAGATGGAGTCTCACAATGTATGTATATGTATCGATGTACACAAACACACACACACACATATATATATATATATATTTATTTATTTATTGTAATTTTTTCTTTATACGTCTAGCGGTATAAATTATCAATTATATCGTAACAGTCTTTTAAAATAATTCTTCTTTTCTCGAGATCTGGAGTTCAAAACCGAGCTCCTATATTCAAAGGACGAAAAAAATAATTTAGCCTAAAATTTGTAGGTATATATATTTATTTATGTTGATTGGATTTGTTAATTATAAATGAATTTACTAATTAATTCCACTAAAATTAACAAGGCAACTTGTAGATGGGTGAAAATAAAAATAAATAAATAAATAAAAATAAAAAAAGCCATAATTCCACGTGGTTATTATGAATAAAATTAGAAAAAAAATGGAAAAAAATCCAAAAGTAGAGTAAGGTTGTGATTGCTTTAAAATATGGCAATAAAAGTGGGCCCACAAAAGAGGAATAATTAAAGCAAAAATAAATTCCAAATGAAAAAAAAAACAAAAATAGAAATTAATAGTAATAATAATAATAATAAAATTAATTAATTGATTGAATTTAAATTCAGAAATTTCAACTTGTTTATTGGATTTATTCATTTTTGTCAAATTTGGGGATTTTTTTTAATAAATATAATTTTTTTATTACTATTATTTTGTCTTAATTGAAGAGGAAATTTCATCCATCCAAAAAAAATCAACACAAAAATTATGATTTTTTTTTTTAAAATAATAATAATTGTGAATTTGTGATGATATTTTTTAAAAAACTAAATGTTTTAAAATTTTAAAAATTATAAAAAAAATTTAAACGTTGGTATAAATAGTAATTATCAATGTGTTTTAAATATTTCTTAATCATAATTTTATATCGATGTGATCCCGGTTCATTCATATATCATTTTTTTATTTGGATATCAACGTCTATATCATTTTTTTTTTCATATATCATTTGTTCGAGTAATTTAATTATAAAAATGGAATGTTTAAAAAAATATATATATGAAAGTTGTAAAAGTTTGAAAATTGAAAGAAAATTGATAAAGAATTTGGTAGGCATGATAGATCGAGAGAATGCCAAACCATAAATTGATTTGATTACTTTGATTTTGACTTGAACTCATCACAAGATCTTTTCATTCTAGATTTGATTTTCTCCATTATTCTCGAACGATGAGATATCGTTATAAGCTACACGATTTTTAAAACGTATTTGTTAGTGAGAAGTTTCCACATCCTGGTAAGGAATGATTTTGTAATGTTATTTATAAGGGTGTGGAAACCTCCACTAGGAGACGCGTTTTAAAGCTTTGAGGAGAAACTCAAAGAGAACAATATTGCTAGCGGTGGATCTGAGTCGTTACAAATTCATTTCCCTCTCCAGTTCATGTGAGATCTCACATTGAAAGTCTAAAGTGTCACAATTGCACTTTGTTGAAACTCACAATCTCCCTCTTAAGTAAGTTAGCCAATTAAAATCTGGGTCGTCGTTGGCACGGATGACGTATGCTCAAACCTTTCGGCTCCGTTCCTAAAATAGAAATTAATTAATTTTAAAAAACAAATGCTATAGGCTATAGCATAAAAGGGTATCAATTTGGCATTCTTTTTTAGTACTAAAAACTATTTTGAGTTTGATTTGGAAGAAATGGATGCATTTGGCTTAGAGTGTGGACAAAGCAAGAGAAATAATTTAATTTTTTTTTTTAAATTAGGTTGGCTTAATTAAGTGATAAAATTCTTTACTACAAATATTTTATTGAAAAGTAGACATTGTTTGGAACTTAGCTCGTTGAATTAGTTGTCTTGTAATGAAACAAAGAAAGATAAATAGTTCATTGGTAGAATTATCTTCTAAAATCAAAACGATCTAAAATTGAGGTATAGTTTTTAAATAAGAATTAAACGATAAAAATATGAAATATAACTTTGTTTCTCATTGCACCATTGTTTAATTTAAAACATTTCTTAAATTTTCATGATAGGTAAAAATGACCAAAATACCCTCACATTTTATTTTGTTTCTACTATAGTCGTCACAAGTGAGTACCACCACCGCTCATGTTGACGATTACTACCACCACCACCTCTAACGACCATTGCCCACCTCCGACAAACACTCAAATGACCATCACCTGATACCATTTTCGATGACCTTTGCAGCAGTGGTAAGTTAGTTATAGTGTTTTACGTATAAATTTGAACTAACATAAACCTCTTTGAAAAAGGTAAGTAAACGTATAAATGCGTTAACGTTAAACAATTTTTATTAAGAACATGCTTGAATTAAGAGGTAACCCAAACATACACTAAGTACTAATGGGAAAGGAATTGAAGTTAGAAGACAAAGAAACTTGATGGCTCCTTGATTGAGAAATACAGAGTATGATCATAGATCTCTAAGCCTGAAATTGAATCAGTCTAAGTCTGAAAATGAATGAGTAGAAAGGGAGATGGCAAGGCAGCAGCACTTGGTTTGTTTGTTTATTCAAAATGTCAAAAATGGCGAACCAACTGTGTGTGTCTCCATTTCTAATCTCAAACGAGGACGAACTTACACCCTTCAAAACCTGCCACAATCAAGTCACTTTCAGTGAAAGAAAGTCTACTTGGAGAAGAAAGTATGCATATTTAAACGAAAATGACCAATAAAAACCTCATTGGAGGCCGACATAAGTGTTCTTTCTGTGAAAGTAAGAGAGAAAAACAAGAGATGTTTGGTGCTTGATTAAGTAACATTATCTCTATAATGGGCGCAGTTGATCTGTTTAAGTTTTTGGATCAAAGGAAGCAGCAAAGCTGATG